GAAAATACAAGCCAGGCGGCTAAAATTGTGAATGGTGTTTATGGCTCCGATACTGTAACAGCCAATTATGTGCAATTTTGGTTTCGTAGATTCCGTTCAGGAATTTTTCATGTTAAAGATGCACCTCGCACAGGTAGGCCGGTCGTCGAAAATGTCGATAAAATCGGAGAAATGATCGAAGTTGACCGGCATGTTAGCAGTCGTAACATCGCCCAGGAGCTAAAAATCGACCATAAAACAGTTTTAAACCATTTACACAAAGCTGGATTCAAGAAGAAGCTCGATGTTTGGGTGCCACACCAATTAACAGAAAAAAACATGATGGATCGAATTTCCATCTGCGAAGCCTTGGCCAAACGGAATGAGATAGACCCATTTCTTAAACGGATGGTGACTGGAGATGAGAAATGGATCACATACGATAACCCTGTGCGAAAACGATCGTGGTCAAAGAGCGGTGAAGCGCCTCAAACGGCCAGGAAGGTTTTGCTATGCATTTGGTGGGACTGGAAGGGGATTATTTATTATGAGTTGCTTCCATATGGCCAAACGCTAAATTCTGATCTCTACTGTCAACAACTGGATCGTTTGAAGATAGCGATTGACCAGAAACGGCCAGAATTGGCCAACAGGAGAGGTGTCGTGTTCCACCAGGACAACGCTAGGCCACACACATCTACAGTGATTCGCCAGAAACTTCGGGAGCTTGGTTGGGAAGTTTTAGTGCATCCGCCATACAGTCCGGACTTGGCACCAAGCGATTATCATCTTTTTCTTGCATTGCAAAATTTCTTTAATGATAAAAAATTGGAATCTAGGGAGGATTGTGAAAATCGACTACTAGAGTTTTTTGCAAATAGAGACCAGGACTTCTATGAGAGAGGCATTTTGAAGCTACCTTTAAAATGGCAACAAATCATACAACAAAACGGTGCATATTTGACCCAAATCGGACAATCCGAAGCATGTTAAATAAAGTTCTGAAGTTCATATAAAAATAATGGATTTCTTTTTCCCCAAACTAATATATACATACATATATATATATATATATATACATATATACCACAACCGCTGCTTTCAATATTTAGTTTCTCTTTTCGCCTTTCACGGTTAGTGCGTTTGCAAAATGACTCACAAAATTGAGCATGAGTTTCCTGGGTTTAGCGGACTTTTTTTCCTTCTCTGTACTTAAAAAATCTTTTTGTATATAAACGTTTCAAATTGCTTAAAATCAATGTACATTCACAACAACTAAACGTATTCTTTTGATCAAATTCACTATCAGTTCTCTTGTATGCCTGCTGAGAGAATCCCCAATTGCAAATCCTCTTATGCTTGCATAAGGGAAATTTAAATGCTAAGTTTTCGTTTTGTTTTTAACTTTCTACTTTTCCACCAAAAAATTAAAACTTGATCAAATAGAATTACTTCAGAAGCAATTCACGCTTTTCACCCTTAGGAAGTTGAAAAGGGATTCCTTAATTTCCTTGCCACCTTACCGAAATAGATTGCTTACCTTCAGTACGGTTTATTCTGGGTATTTCCCTCTTAGTTAAGCTAATAAACGATACAAATGACTCGCCGGCTTCATTAATAGAAATAAACTTCCATGTTTTAGGTAGGGTAGATACAATCGTGAGCTTTTGAACGCGTTAAGGATCTTTTGCGAATATTTAAACGATATCTACAATTTAATCACGTTATCGGATGCTTTAAATACTGTCAAAACAATGTTCCTTAATATGTGAGGCTTGCTTAACCACCGTATCTTAAGTTTTTTCAGTTAAAACTCCTATCTAACTATCTTAACTTTTAATGGTTAAAACTTTTTACGATTTGCAAATTATGCTAAATACGCACACTATTATCGGGTGACAAGCTTTTACCTGTTTGCATTGGTTTAGAGACCAACTCTCAGCTCAGAACCTGGGAATATGCCTCTGTGTTAAAAATGTCTACGCTTTGGTCTCTCTCTTTTTTTTTTACATGGATTGTGATTTTTCTGTTTTTTCTTTATTTTTTGCACTATACCCAAGTCAAGTTCTAATGTTCAGCTTAAGATTTATTTTTAATAACGTAACTCATTCAATTGTCTTTTAATTTATAGCCGAATTTCACGTATAATTAAATAGATAAGTGGTTATTTCCAGCAAATGGGATCAATTTGACCAATAAACTTTATGGCATCGACGCAATCGGACAGATGAAGACAAGAAGTTAAATTTGAACATTCCTTACATTTCCCAAATTAGCACGTGTCCATCGAAATACAAATAAATTGGATTTGACATTTTATGTTAGTTATGAAGGCTTTATTAAACCCGTAATTACCATTTTTAGGCCGATGTAGATGGTTTTCACGAACAACTGTGAAAACATTTTCGGAAATATCATTACGGGATCAGAAGTTACTGATATGAAAAAATAATCGGTGTTTTGTCGAGGTTATCGTAGTTTCTTGTTTATTGCGTATGCATGTGGGCACCTGGGCACGTGGGTTCCTAATCGGTCGAAGAGTGTTTTGTGCCGAGTTTTAGCTTCCTACTTTAATTTATAGGACTGTGACCGTGGTAATTTCTCAAAGAAAGGGGATCATATTTATCCCTTTTAGTAGGAATAGACACTGCAATGTCCATAGTTCTAGGGTTAAAGAACATAACAAAACTATGTTGTTTAAAACTGTTGGATGTAGTAAATCCCTGTTTCGAGCCCATTTAAATCATAAACCTAAAGTAAATGTCAAATTTTATATCAAATGTGTATGCAATGTATAAAATGTATAAAGACAAAATTTAATTTACGTCTGCAATCAAACATAATCATCAATTTTATGATAGCTGACAAATGACAATGACGAAATAAGGATGTAATTCTTCTGAATATGTTGGCTATCACATTTCGTTCATTCTTGTAATTTCGTTCAATGGTATGTTATATTTTTTTGTTGTAATAATAATTGTACCAATTAAAGTGTTAACAATTTCATCATAGTTAATTTTTATATCCACCATCGAAACGCGGAGATATATTCATTTTGTCAAACCATTCCCAACGCCCAAAAGATAGCTTCAGAGATATAAGAATCAATTCGTCTGCCTATCTGTAAGCATTTCGTTCTCAAAAATAAAGATATTGTCCTCGAAATGGCCAAAAACGTTGGAAGTTCACGCACGCCAATTGATCTTGAAAGTGGGCAAGCAGTAAAAGAGCACGCTTTCAATGCAACATTAACTGGGAATATTTCGGCTTTTTAGGTTTTGCTTATTATATATCAACTACACTAGACACGTGATAAAAATTTTCACATATGTTCCACAAAAAAGCTAAAGATCAGCCATACACACACAACATTACAGAATATAAAAACTTTATTTTTTCGTTAATTTTTTTTAGTTTCCATTTCCCTTACGATTAAATTGATGGTTATTCGGCCACAACCGAATATAATTTTCCTATCTACTATATGTGTATTACACATATGAGCTTCTTCCATATATTTTCCCATTTATTAATCCTAAATACTATACACCGTGTTTTCCCGTGCTATCTTGAAATATCCTAAGATAATATCCTACACCTTGTTCACTGTGTTATATTTTACTATAACTGTTACTGTCTTGATATTTTAACACTGTGTTGATATAATAACATTTAAAGCATTTAAAAAAAAATGTACCTTTACGCATATATAGACAATTTTAGAAACAACTGCTTACGTCTTGACGTGACGTACAGTATTTAGCAGCGGCGTTCTATTATGTGTACAAATAAATTCTCTGTGTTCAAATTGGTTTTTCATAAAGTGTACGCACGGAACGCTCAGGTATGTTGGTGTTCGTATGTTTGACTTGTTTATACTCTGTCTTTCAGCGTGTGTCGAAGTATAAAAGAAGAAGAGCAATGGTTCTGCAAAGGTGAAGATTTGCAAAAATTGGTCGATGACTTTTTCGGCACGACATCATGAAGGTCCTACTAGACAAATCGACAAATTGTATTTGTACATCTAATATACAACGTCATAAAAAAACATACATTGCCATAACACATCAAATTTAATTTATCTTATGAAAAATTAAAAAGGGCTTAGACTCAGTAGTGCTGTCAATATCAAAGGAACTACACAGGAGTTGTCTGGATATGATAAAAAAGGATAGACTGAAAAGGGAACAAAATTAAATAAAAGAAAGGACTTTTAATATATAAAATAATTTTATTTTTTTATGAATTCTTTACTTACTCATTTCGTGTTCACATTGCTACAATACTAATGCCAACCAACTGTTTCATCTTAAATTGTAAGAGATTATTTATTGTTTAAACAACTTCGATCACGCAGGACCATTTACAGAAAATAAACTCTCATATAATAATTACTTTTTAAAGCAAATCTTACTTTCTCAAGCGAGCTCGATTTTCTTTCTTTTCCTCTTAATTTTTTTCACGAAATTTCCCAATTTAAATTTGAAATGTGAGAAGCTGCTTGCGGTTCGAATAATTATGTGCACGAAAATACAATTTGTAACCGCTAAACTTTTTGTAATAATTCACAGTCAATAAATTTGGTGTGAAAAAAAATTTTTGCTTAACAAACTCGTTACTTCATAGATTTTACAATTGTAACTAGTCTTGTGAAATTTGTGCCTACAATTTATTTCACATAATGGACTTGCAAATGTATATTACGAAATTATCCGCTTCGGCCACACCATTAATTTTCTTTTATAATCAAAATTTACTTCAGCTTCCCTTACTACATTGTACGGGGAATAACATATGTTAAACAAATTTGTACTTTAGTTTCTAGCAGGTTTACTGGTGTTGCAAAAATTGAAATTTTTACTTTTTTTATTTACTCGACGTGTATACATTTTGAACGTAGTTAACTAGTTAAAGAAGGAAATTAAACATTTTGCGCGTGGAGATTTTAGTTAATATGTGCATAGACGTACAAAAAGGCGTATTATAAAACTTAAAAAAATGAATTTATTTTGCCTAAGGTTCACTGACTGGCACCCAAGTGGCTCACCAGCTTGTGGTAGCTATACGCCAAAAATGCTCGCCAGAAGAAGTCATCAACATACTAAAAGAGCTGCCAAACTCAGGAGAAAACTCCGATCAGGAGATGTCAGATTCTTCATTTAACCCACTCAAAATTGATGTTTTTGTACAAACTCTATTGAATTTGGGCTCGAAATCATTTTCTCACAGCTTTGCAGCCGTTTCGAAATTTCATTTAGTTTTTAAGGTAAGCTTGTGTGTAATTCTAGACGTCTAAAAATATATACCTGATCATATATCACAAATTCTCCCTTTTAGGCCTTAGCGGAATCTGAAGAAGCTCAGATTTGTATTTTACACAATGTGTTTGAATTATGGCAAAATCATCAACAGATGATGGTCGTAATAATCGACAAGTTGCTTAAAATACAAATCGTGGATTGCTCGGCAGTAGCCACTTGGATATTTTCCAAGGAAATGACTGGTGAATTTACAAAAATGTATCTCTGGGAAATTTTACATTTGACTATAAAAAAAATGAATAAACATGTTATCAAATTAAGTGAGTTGAAATAACAAACAATTAACCTAAATCTATTCCAAATTTTTCTCTTCGTAGGTAATGAATTAAATGACGCCAAGGAGAAATTCGCCAAAGCTGACTCTTCTTCAAGTGATTCGGAGGATGAAGCGGCGCCGAAACGCAAGAAGCCTGTTACTGTGGTGGATAAACCGACTGAAGAAGTGTGTATTTTAAAACATCTGTGATCTACGCAACCTTTTATATTCGCTTAAGGGCAAATAAAACTTCGATAATTATTATCCTTCATAAAATATATCAGTGTGTGTATATGACTGCTGAAAAGAATTGTTTATCTACATGTATTGACCCCAGTTTTTTTAGCTTCAAATATTACGTCCTGCTAGGAATTACTTCAGAAATATGTGGAAGTTGGTTCCTTAAATTCTCATTTTATTGAAATATTGTTTTTAACTGACTATTTGATTTAAATATGTATTGAATTAAGTTTTAGAATCTAGATCGCAACGGGTTTATAGTCATCTAGGCAGCTAATATAAGAACAAGTAAAGACATAGCCAGCCACGGCTCACCATTAAATACCATGCACCACCTCGCTTAATACAATTATTCACATAAGGACCTTTCAAAATAAGGATTTACAAGGAAAGTAATCAACGAAGTGTTTGGATCCAAATCATTTTTAATACACTTCGTCCTTGGGCCAAAACACATGTGCCAAATTTCATCAAGATATCTCAAAAATTGCGGTCTGTAGGTTGAACGCAAAAATATAGGGTCAAATATAAGACAAACAAACAGATAGAAAAAAAGTGATTTTGAATCGATCGGCGTAATAAAAGGTGGATACATCGCAAATCCTAACAAATTCTAACAATTATGGATCAATCGTACTTACGTTATTGAAAATACGAATATTTTGTAGCAAGAAAAATTATTGAATTTATAACTGAGCCTGTGGTGAGGAATGTGTTAAGATAAGCTGTATGGCATTGCCACGATCAATGTAGCTGGCAAATTGAGTCTGCCTTAGGTATTCATTTTCACCTTATAATTTGTGAGAGCCCTATTAGTATTTTAACAGACAAATAAAATGATATGTACCTATTGCGTTTGTTAAGAAGGTTTGGCTATGACAAGACCAAAGCTATATGAGCTTATAAAATAGTAAATAATTAAAAGAAATACATTCAATTCGATTTTTTCTTTATCTTGGGAAATCATTCTTGCCTTACAGATGGTTGAACGAATGGAGGAAAAATTGGAAGCAGCCAACGTTGATCAAAAACGTCTCTTTTTGATCGTATTCCAAAGGTTTATAATGATTCTGTCAGAGCATTTGGTACGATCCGACACAGATGGTCGTGACCCAGATACAGACTGGTACCGTTGGACTGTTGGACGTTTACAACAAGTTTTTCTAATGGTAATGTAATGTAGTGTTATGTACCTATATGGAAATTATTCAAAATATTCTTATTAATTCTACATTTTTATTTAAAATTTTAGCATCATGAACAAGTGCAAAAATATAGCGGCACCTTGGAAACTCTACTGTTCACATCGGATTTAGATTCACATATATTGGAAGTATTTCATCAATTTGTAGCTTTAAGAGCCTGAAAAATGTATAATTTCAAGAATGTTTTTGCGTTCGTATCAATATCTAAAATTCAATTACAACTATTACAAAACAATAGCAAAAATAACAAAAAATTTAGCATAAAAGACTGTAAAGACACCATATTATTTCGTGTTTGTGTTTATTAAGTTTTGAGTGGTTATAGATCGTCATTAATTAAATTTACTTATTTTTTAATTTAGAAACTTTCTTAACAACTACTTTTCATTGTACCATTAATACATAAATTATAAAAAGAGTTTCCATCTACATCTAACAACAAAAAAGTTACATAAATTTCTGGTTCCGTTATGTTTTCGCACACAATCCAGTGCGTTAAGGGGCATTTAGGAGACATCAAAATGTCAGATTTAGAACAACGATTTATATCTAATACAAGTTTATTCCTACGCGTATCACTTAAAATAACTTCTTCAGAAGAAATGATTTTATTTCAGTTGTCTTTCATATGCTTTTTTCTAATATATTACGAATTTTTTTTGTTTTTTCAAATTTTTTACACGGTTTATGATTTAATAACCATATCTTATAATGCATGCAACTACATGAATAATGTCATTGCTTATGACTCAAGTATGTCCTTTTTTTTCAAGTGGGAAAAAGCGTCTTTGTGTTAATAACCAAATATATAATTCTTCTTGATTTCATGTTTGGATAATTCATACTCTCTCTCTCTCAGAATTTATGATCGTTCAGATTCATGGAGTCAGTCATCTCATATAAAAAATTTTAGCATCACAGGAAAGTGCAAAAATATGGTGGCGCTTTGGAAACTTCGCTATTCACATCGGATTTAGATTCGTATATATTTAAGATATTTCATCTATTTGTAGCTTTAAGCGCCTAAAAAATTATATTTTCGAGATTTTTTGTGTCGGTAGCAATGTCTAAAATTCAATCACTATTATTATGGAACAATAACAAAAAATTTTAGTATAAGAGTCTGCAAAGACATCATACGATTAAAATTTAATTTTTGTGTTTTTGTTACGTGATCTTCATTAATTAAATTTACTTTTAATGCAATAATTATAAAAAAATAATGCGATAATCATAAATAGAGTTTTCACCTAACGTCTAACAACAAAAAGTTGTACAATTCTCTGATTCCATTATGTTTGGTTGAGTTAATATGTATTTTTACACACGATCCACTGTGGGCACCTTTTACATTCGTTTCATCAAATCGATCTAAAAGTTTGAATGGCAACTGTTAAAACTAAATAGATGGTAGCTAGAAGAAAGGAGTAAAAGATCGAATATATACCAAGCTTTGGTAACGGACATAAAAAAATAAATTAATAAATAAACGAATAAAAAATTCAAATAGAGAAATTATATTCGGCCGCGAAAGAATCTTTTATACCCACCGCCGTTATCCGACGTATACCGTCATAACGTCCGCGACATTTGATTTAGAATTAACACACTTACTTTGTCGCATTTTACTCTCCAAGTACTGTGCTATAATAGCCGATTGCTTATATTGTTATGAAAAAACTAATTTTCCACGTTGTATTCACAAGTATGCTATATATATTTTGTGATGAACATATTTTTAGGCGGACAATATAAGTGTTTATGCGGAATGTGTAAAATAATTTTTAACATTTTGTCTTGTTTACCTTATATGTAATAAGCAAAACGCATTTAAAAGAATAAAAAAAATCACTTATAATTTTATGTAGGCATGGCCGATTTTTTCATTTTTGTACATATGTTGCAAGACCACCTATAGAATATAATTTTTATCGTTCCATCCGCGCTAGTTTGTAAGTAACGAGCAAAAAGGAAAATTGTTTTTAATTTTCAATACAGAGATGATCTCAGATTATGTTGTATTTTGGCCGCCCCTTTCGTGCGATTTATGCCGTTTTCAATACTAATCTGCGTACAAGAATTTCCAATGTTTCTGCTCTAAATAACAAACAAAACAGTAACATTTGTTTCCAAACATAAAATTGATATCTATCTATTGATATCTTTGAAATCTGTATTTCTTAATTGGTTAGTACAAATACTTTTAAAAAACCTTTAATATTTTCCTTTAATGTAGTCGGTCATTGTTTCATAACTGCCGTAAGCGGTAACGTTACTGTAGCAGTCTAAAACAAAATTCTTTTTCAATTTTTTGGGGACGGAAGTAAAAGTGATTGAATAATAATATTCGAGTAATTAAGCATATACTTAGATATTACAAAAAAAGATTTGTTCTGAAAAATATTAAAAATTAAAAAAATCGCAGTCATCCTTACGGGGTATCTTTTTTATAAGGAGCTCTGCGGCACAGACCGTAACTGGTGCGAATTTGAGTGAAAAAAAAGACAAACGGTTTAATTTTTAACCGAAAAAAGGCACCCTTTTAAGTAGGAAAAACATTTAACGTAACCTATTGAAACCTTCATGGTTTTCTAGAGAATGCTATTTTAAAGATATTGTAAAAAATTTGAATGAAAAAATGAATTGATAGAGTTAAAGTGCGTGCGGCGTGCGAGGAAAACTTTAAAGTTTGAACATGTGCTATAAATATGTCTTCATTATAATAAACATACTATCATTTTTTCCTTTAGTCTGCAGTGGCCTCGCCATAAACGTACCGTTGGACATTCAGGTATTCTTTCCAATTATTTTGCTTGACGATGCTTTTCTCGAAAATCCCTCTTTTGCTGTATGTGCCAAATCGCACACACAGAACATCTAAAGCACTTATTAAGCGGATAAGAAAAACATACTTTTTCTAGGAACTTTAGAGTAGCTTTGCTTCTTAATTATGTGAAAGGTACACCGCTTATTATAAATAGTGAAATGAAGTGAGATATAGCAACTGAGTTAATGTAATTGTGATAGCGGGTTTATATAGAATGTTTGCCTTAAACTTTTTTCGCTCTTATCAGTTTGTGCCAGATGCAGTAGATGAGATTAGTCATAAATTTTATTAGAAGATTCACCGATAGTGCACCTCACGTTCGAAATGTACACTGATTGCTGTTGTGGCAGACCTTTATTTTTTATTTCGCCTTATAAGAGAAATATCCACTTTTTCTATAATATTTTACGTACATGGCTTCTTAAAGCAAATTGTTTGGCAATTGCTCACATCAATTCACTTGTAACCAGTAGTTCACTCTCGTCTATACGGTCGAATATCCATATTTCAGTAAACGAGCTATGAAAACCAAGGTCATTTAAGTCAATAGCGGTAAAACCAAGGCTTCCAGTTTAAAAGCTGACGTTAGGCAAATATCTGTGAGATATACATATGTAAATGCATATATGTATTTCGTAGTATTTATTTTTATCTGGCCTCCATGGCAAAGACCACAATACAGAGAGAGAAGAGTTAGTAGTAGAGTGGTGATGTTACCCAACGTGGTAGCGTATCAAATCTTTATGTATGCTCGCAATGTAGGCCCAATGCCCAACCAGAAAATGTAGTTATTAATGACGACTAGATCGAATCATTTTCAATAGAGTTCGTCCTTGAAACAAAACGCGCCAATATACTGAATGTTATGAAAATATCTTAAAAATTTGCGATCTGTAGTTGGAATATAAGGCTGTTTAGACAGGCAAGTTTCAATCAATGTAGAAAATGATTCTGAATCGATCGGTATAATAAGAAGTGGATTTATCTTTTCCCCTTCTGAGTGATGCAGACATCCGCAAAAATTTAGTGTGCCGTATAGAGTATAAAGAGGCGTGTACGAGTATAAAACGCCAGTAGCCCCATGGTTAACGCTTAGTCTATTTATTTAGTTATGCGACAAATTATATATTATCTATTACCTCGAAATTTACAGATGCGTATTCGACGACTACATAATATTTCATAGTCGTGTGCTAAAAAGTCAAATGGAATATTACTTATTTATAATCGCTTTTATACATTATTGACCTATTGTCATTTGGTTATCTATCAAAATGCGGCAAGATATTAAAGTTCATTATCCGGCTGAATACAATGAAAACATTTCGTACGGTTTCGTTTATGTTAGCGGTACACGCGTTGCATTTTTCGATAAAACCACCAACTACTTTGGATGTGAATATTTTTATCTTGCTGACAACAGCTGGCAAATAAGGCGGCTTAATTTACAATACTTGTTATAGCTTAACATCTTCAGGACATCTACAAAAGAACCTTACTATATCCGGTCTTCAGATCGCTTCATTACGGAGAGTTTGGAAGCTTCAAGTTTACCTCTATTTTTCTTCATATCAATATCATATTCCATCGTTCTTATCAAAGTCTTTATACGCGGCGTCAGAAATATTGTTCACCTACAAAACATAAAGCTCCATCTTCAGCGGCTGTATGTATAGTCAAGTTTAAAATAGGTCGTCCGTTTTCTCACAACTCGAATTTCTGTCATTAAACTATGTACGAACCATTTTCATGGACAACAGTCTTATTTTACATCCCCTAGTGAAGTTCAGAAAGTCACAAACTTATCGGACTTAAAAGTGCATTCTGTAAGACTTAATAATAATTATATTTTGGAAAATAAGTTTTGCATTGTGGTTATATGACCCTTTCTGTTAATGCTGTGACTGTACCGGATCGTCCCATCATTTCGACATTTGACACGGAAACAATCTTTCACAATGACTAAACTATTTTAATTAATGATTTTCAAACATTCACTTTATAAAAAAAATCCTAAAGCCTAACTATAGAGAAACTTTTAATTTAAAAGACAACTTGGTAAAACTGTTCACAGCAATTTATGTGTCGGTTAACATTCGTAATTTTATTGAAATAAAATGCACTGAAATTAGAATATAAAAAAATACTAATGAACTTACGAGTAGAGTTTTTTAATAAAAGCCGATAGCCCTAGATGCTAGTGCTTTAAGACTTTAGTCTTAGAATTTATTCTCTGGCTAAATTTATAATAATAATAATAATAATAATAAATTATATTATATCAAATGCACATATATGGGCGAATATATGTAATTGTTCATAATGAATTAGAAGCGAGAGAATAAATAAATATTTGCGCAAATATGCACATAAATGTATATAAGTTATAAACATACATACAGATGAGGCAAGATGTCTTAACCTACCATACGAATAGGTAGTATAGCTTAATTATAGCCTATGGGCGTACATAAGTAAACCTTTTTTAATTATATTCCGGCCGTGGAAAATAATCAGGTACAAGGACGTGTACGAGAATGCCAGTCATCATTAGGGCAAAATAGAAAATAACTGCTATCCACCAGAGTATGCGTTCCCAGCGGCGTACTTCAAGATTACGCAACACTCCTATCCCAACCAAGAGACCCGCGACTGCACCAGATAAATGAGCCATGTACCCAATTTGATCATGCTGGTCGGTGACGTGACGGTATACAGATGTACCCAGATCAGTTAAGCAAAATATCAGGAATACTAGTAGTTGTACAATTGCATACTCCATTTCGGACCAATTCTATATATTCACAAGCACAAACATTAAAAATCATTAAAACTTACAAAAATGGCGGCCCAACATGTTTTAAAAATTTTTGATAAATTTCGTAAAGAAGCAAGTAAACTTAAATCTTTCTTTACAAGACAGGTACTTGCTTCGAAAATCATTTTAAAAAATCATTAAAAAAAAACATATTATATATATGCCAAATTTGTGGATGTGTTCCACAATTTTTAATAACCCGTGTAAGATAAAAAAACTCTATCTATTTTCCCAAAAAAACCGTGCAAAAAAACAACGAAATCCACTTATTACAAAAAAATAAATAAAAATCAATTTCGCAACTATTCAGTGATACTTGATAACAAGTGTGCATATTTATTACAGACTGTGCCAAAAATGCTATCATTACTAGATGCATCAGATATGTCCAGCACAATTGAAGAATTTCGTTCGTTCTTAACAGCCCCTGTTGGCTTTTTGGTGTTATAAAGTCTATTACTAGAACTTTTTTCTTGGCTTCTGAAGTTGCTTACATAATTCTTGTTATCCAACTACATAACACTTAAGGTTACATTCGCATTTTAATGCACCCTCCTTGTCGAGATCTTGAGTGCGACAATGTTTTTTTATACTTGTAGCAAATTTCAAGCCTACGTGAATTAAATCAGCCATTAATAGTTGAACTTCACCTTAGAATTAAGAAAAAATTTTAATATGAATACCAAATTTTATAACTTTATTGAAAATTTATCGCGTCATACAATCTGAACACTCTAACACAAAATAGTAGAAGTTGAAGTACAACGGAGTAAATAAATACGTGATCATAAAAGTCAAGTATTTTCCGTAGTAGCCAAAGTCATTAACGAAGTCAAAAAAATATGCCACTAAAAAAAACGTTCATTGTAAAAAAGCGCACTTTGGCCGCATTGGTAAACCGTGCTATTTCAAAACCGAGTAAAAATGACCGTATAAGAAAAAAGTGTCTCATTTGATAACTAAAGTCGTCACAATTGTTAAGAATTGTAAGGTTTTCAAAAAAAGCTCACGAAAAATCTTCTAAATTTTGATTTAGCGTGGCTCCGTAATCTCTTTAAAGCAAAAACCAATGCTCTTCTTAGGAGATTAACTTGCTTTATTGTAAAACCAAACTTGTCTTTTTAACTTGCTAACGATTTTTTTATTATTCCTTATATTTACGTACTTAATTTTATCTCTAAAATAATCTAATTTCAGCTAAAATTTGCAACTTTAATTTTACGTCACTATTTACATCTTTGCAATGTCCTAATACACTTAACATATTGGCCTCAACTAGCAGATGACTCAGTTTTTCTTAATTTATATAAAAACAATTAATTATATATAAATATTACAAACAATCAGCATAATCTATAATTTGAACATATAAGCCACATTTCTTATTGGCTTAATCCACTTAATATCAATATCTAAAAAAAGGTCAACAGTTAACGTCACCATTGTTAGGAATTATAAAGATTTTTAAAACAGCTCAAAGAAAATTGACTAAATTGAGATCTAGCCTGGGTTTAAAATCCAAAAACGGATACATTCTTGATTAAAATTTAGGCAGGGTTGCACGATCGTAAATCGCAAAAATTAAAATAAATATAGAATATATATATCGGCACATATGTAGATAAATCAATTGCTGACACGTATTAAATAGTGCTACCGTCTTTTTTTCTTTTTAAGTCAATTATCAAAACTGCTATTGTCACCGTAAACGACAGACTGATTACAGCTTAAGCCGCCTGGATGGTCCCAGCTTTTGCTAGATTTTTGATAAGTATTTTTTGATTGAGATAATTAATAATTATTTCTTATAGAGGGTGATTTACCGAATCAAAACACAAACATGCGTACGCCAATTTGATAATTGCATCTACCGTCTTCTAAGTCATGCGGTAGCACAATACACTGACTACCCAAAAGAATACAAAAAATTTATCAACTTCGCACAAAACAATTAAGACATATACGAAGAAATAAAATTCGTCTTAAACGAATATAGCTTTTTTACCTTTTTTTTACCCTTCCTTTCATCTTACCATAATTATGGTGGCTATGTGCGCCGTTATCAACGCATAAACTCCTCCTGAAGCGCCAGCCAAAAATATACGCGGGCTTGTCAGTGAAGTACCCATGGATCCGGCTAAAACTCCAGCCAAATAAACCAAAGCCACTCGCCACCAATGGTGCACTAGTTCTAGGGCTACGCCCAAAAATATTTGGATAATCAAGTTCATAAAGAGATGCATAAGTCCCACATGCACAAACATATAGCTGATAAAACGCCACGCTTCATATCGTTTATAGGGATTATAAATAAACAAAATGGCCGCTGGTCCAGTTGTGCTCTCACCAATGCGATGGTTATTGTTAGAATCGTCTCTGCAAAATATTACATACACTCTAAACCCAATATATTCAGCCATAGGTTGTCTCTATTTACAATGAGTCAAGCATAGATGCAACCGTTAATAATGCGGAGTGTATAGTTAGCAAATACAAAAATTTTCAGAGAAATATGAAAAGTTGAAAATAATATCATTGTGTTTTTGCTGTTTTTGTTGCTGTTGATGCATTCAGGATTGAAAATCTTTTACCTAATTTTTGTACGTTACGCTACTTGTGATACCTTAAATTAGTGCGGATATGCCTACAAAACTTAAGATAGACCAAGCTTATCGTCGAAAAGAACTTTCTCGATTCTCAATAAACTCGTGTGGTTGCCTGCCCGTTTCTGTATGTCTAATGTACGTCTATAAACTTTTTTGCACAGTCTACATATCACAATTTTCAGAAAAGAACCTCTGCACATGTTTTTGCCCAAGAAAGGAGCCTATTGAAAAGGGACTAAATCGACCATTTTTACATCCCCTACCCAAATAACGCTTTATTTTGAAAAAGTTTTTATTTAAAAAATTTGCATTTTTCAAAATTTGTCTACGAAAATCGCTAAGTAATCGTACTTCGGTATACTAAGTTGATTGGAACCGAGAGCCCAAGTTTTTGAATCTCTCATAACTGTTCTCACAAAAGCAAAGCGTTTACATCGCAAAAGCTATTATTTTTAATATTCATGAGCAGGATTTACAAAAAATATGAAATGCAAAACTTTGAAATTTGATGACAATACGACAGCATAAACAATACATTGGTCTTATATATATTCAAACGTATACATAACGCCATTTTTTGCTAAATATTCCGCATTTCCGAATTTCCATATGCATATATACCTAAGTGTATATTAAAAGTACTTACTGAAAGTGAATGACATCAATCAGGAACATGACGATTTCTACAAGTGAAAATACAACCATTGTTAGTGGCGGTGGACATATCGACATCTGTTTTTCATAGGCTCCATCTACGTATATAAATAAGTTCATTAACACACATACAACAACCATAGTCTCCATCATCCCTAACCTAGTTGGTCGCCTTCTAAAGATTTCGGCGGCGGCACAATTAAGCGACAGTAACGGGCTAGAATATTACGTACAAGCCATTTGTGTCGTTGAGACATACGACAGAACTCCTCAAAATTTAATTGTCCACTAAAATCCGTATCAGATAGAGAAAGGATTTGTTCCGCAATGTGATATGGTATATCACGGCAGACACCTGCTTCTATTAGACCTTTCAACTCATGTATATTCACGAGTCCATCATTATCAGCGTCATACTAAAAGGAGAAGATAAGAGATAAAGGTGACTAATCACAACAAACAAATTTTAACACTCCGAATTTAAACTTCGAAACATTGGTTTAGTGTAATACCCAAGACAACTAAATGACAAGCTGTCTCAACATTTAGTTCAAAGCACAAACTCTCTCAGGAACTTTTGGTGTTCTCTTATCAATAACAGTAGTAGCACTGTTAATTAGCAGCAGTTTAGTCGCTTGCTCTTTCATTCTCATTATTAGCACGGCCGAGAACCCTGTTAAACCCTTAAGCTGTATCGAACGTTTATAAAGCAAAATCAAAGCGAACTAAATGTATAAACATTCCAACGTTTTGTTCAAAATCACGATTAGGAGAATTTTAGGCACTTTTTATGTGTCCGTCATTAATAACAGTAGTAATGCATTTAATTAACAAACATTTGCATGCTTTCTCTTTCATTCTTACTGTTTGTATGGGCATAGATTCTGCTAAGTTTCTTGGTATGACGTCGCATTCTCTCAAACGTTTGCAAAGTAGAAGCGTGTACAATTCTGTGTTGTTAAGTGAATATGGGCTATATCATACATATTATTTGGTAGTTTATTGCGTCACCAAGGAACTATTAACAGAATATACTGTTATTGATAACGGACACATAAAAAGTGCCTGAAATTCTCCTAACCCCAATTTTGAATAAAATGGTAGAATGCTTATATATTTACTTGTGTCTGATTTTGCTTTATACACGCTCGATAAAGTGAAGAGTTTAACAAAGTTCTCACCCATGGAAAAAATGAGAATGAAAGAGCAATCGACTAAACTTGTGCAAATTAACAGTGCTATCACTGTTATTGATAATAGAAACGCCAAAAGGGCGTGAGAGTTTACTAGTTTGCATTTTGAACCAGGTGTTGAGACATCTTGTCATTTAGTTGTCTCTGATAATACACAAACTGAATTCCCTGTCTTTATTAATCTATTTGCTTTTGAATAGACGCGAAAATGCATTGGTCGCTATATATATTCACCCTTAGTACACCAATCATATAATCTTATTATTATTGTTATTATTATTATAAATGTAGTCAAAGAATAAATTCTAAGATTAAAGTCTTAAAGCACTAGCATCTAAGGCTTTCGGCTTTATTAAAAACTATACCGCACTTGAGATTGGAACCCACGACCATTGAGTTGCTAGTCGAGACTCTTGCTACTCGGCCATTCAGGCGGATCATCTATAATTAAATCTAATTATTTTTGTACGTTTGGCCAGTTGCATCTCCGCTTATACCTATCTCACGACTAAAATATGGGTTACCATATTTATTTTGGCGCATAAAAGAGACGGATGTATTGATTCTTAAATTCATCTACTTTGTTATATAGAGACTAGGGTAGAAATTGGTAATTGGTACATGGAATATACCCCATAAAGTAATTGTGATCGCCTACGAACATGATTATAGACGCCGCACACCTGTTTCGAAACCTAACATAACATATTTTAACCAAGTGCATTGACTTAAAAACACAGACATCTATATGATTTTGCTATATAAATGTTTGATAGCAATATTTATTCACTTACTTATTTATTTAACATAAAATATCAGCTAATATACAGCCAATACCAAGTAACCTTATGAGTTAAATTAGATGAGTTATACAAAATCAGATTACATTATATCAATAGAGCAACCCGATAAAGTAATGTAATATTAAATTCATCATTTAATTTCCTGTACAACACGGCTTTTAATTCAATACTTTATGGAAAATAATCCTAATGAAAACTACACATTATAGCGTTAATTCCCATTCCTAATTTAAAACCAAAGTTAGTCTAATAACTACTCCATTTGAAGTAGTTACCAGTCTTTCTGCTATGATAACCATTAAACAAACCATGGAAATGATAAAAAACTTGTTAATAAAATATTTAAATGTAAAAAATAAGCAACTCAACTACCATGGCCGATATCATGAGTGTCGCAAATTCGCCCTAAGACAAATTGAATTTATTGAGTGACAACCTAAATTGCGTACATTAACCAACAACGATTTTACATAACCGCTTCGATTATCTATTGGAAATAAGTAACAATAATCATTAAATTGTTTACATAAAACACGAAAAGGAGAAAAGATTTCATAATTATTCCTACATTGGGACAACCGCAGTGAAAGGAAATCCTTGAAATTCGTGACGGAATATGAAAATCAAGCCTACTAAGCAAAAGAGATGACGAAGTGGCGCCTTATATAAGTTTCAATGAAAAGCGTATTCCAAAAATCATCTTCTACGTTCGAGCTTTGATAAATTGATCAGAAGTAACCGATGCTCATACGAAGGTAATGTGCTCTTAGTATCCCATGCTGATCCCTGTAAGACAATCAACAGGAATCAATTTGGATTGATTCAATCATAGCAATATAATAGTGATAACTGCGAGACAACAGAGGCCTATCCAACTAGGGGAATTTCGTTACGTAAGAGTCGTTAAACTCTTCCGACCACCTTTGAGATCCATTTGGCTTACACCATTCAGCTAATAAAAATAAATCAAATTTAAGGCGACGGAAACTGTTAAAATTGTGAGAAGAATGAAAAAGTTTTACATTGCTTGCATACATTAGTACACCAGAATGTTGCATTATATTAGGGATATTATTTATAAGCGGGCAAAAGAAAAGTGGTCCTAGATCCCTTCCTCGAGGTACTTCGGATTCATTAATTTATATTCAGAAACATGCGATTTAAATAAAACGCTCTCCCACGAAGGCATGAACGTTTTACCCGACGAAGACCCCTATAAACTTCGGAATATGAGAATTTTATGTTAGACGAAATATCATAATTCTCAGTATGATAGGGATAGCAAACAACAACACTTTGAATTTGGCCAGAGTATACAAATTCAAACACGTTAGAAATAGTCTGAGTATTAGATGATTCAATATCCCCATAAGCATGTGCCAAGACGACCAATAAGCTCCTCTTTTTAAATTCAAAAAGTAGAAGAACTTTTAAAATTCCTTTTGAAGTTTACTTTCACTTTCTCTAAATACATTGAGTAACACCTATTATTGACCTGTTTGGCAAGCATGTAAGAGGCGAAAACTCTAGGATATCCAATTTTTTTAAACCTTTTAAAGAGCCTATTTCTATAGTTTTTAATACCTTTGCGCTCCTTCATCCGCCATGGCTGTCATGTAGACGTACTTGAATTCAGTACGGAAGTATTGAATTCAATGCGTAATCAAAGATAATCAACAAGCTATTAAGTAATATTAGAGTTCCGTTTTACAACATGACTGAATATGCAATAATTCATAATTGGCTTTAAAAAAGTTATATTCGTGTACGCTGTTGTAAAGTTTATTGTGTTTGTACAAATCGGTCCACAAAGAAATACAAATCGATGGATGAAAACCATCTTCCGATTGAACAGAGGGACTACCTCGAGTTATCAATAGACCTATTGTATTCGAACACTCTAAATCCAGTAATTTATTACTTGAATTGTGCGCCTTATTCAGTTGCATTGAGCTCAAACTACGTATATCTTCAAAGAATGAATTGTACGGAACCGATATAAAACATAGAACGTAAAATCCAACATATTCCGTAATGATCGAAATATCACTGCGTCTCAAAAATTAGACACTTCCTGAATAAGACTAACGCTCTGTGAGTAGACAAACAAATCAGACGCAGACAACCACATGCTGGTCACCCTAATTTGAAAGCCGCAAATTCATAGCAACGCCAACTAATTTCACTTTAGAATTAGGTACAGATTTAGATGTAAATGTATCATCTAAACGCTGCTGTAGGTGTAAGAGATCCTACCACATCAATACCAGCGAAGTTTCTCAAAGTTTGAGATTGAGTCTGAGGCCGCCATCTAGTACTTACGACAAATATGTCTGCTGCCTCCACCGAATCGGAGTCTTTGGTAGCAGATGAAATTACCGTCTTCCTCCTCGCTAAGGTTAGGGTTTCAGCAAGTAAAGCTGCCACATCAAATGGAGGGTGAGCGGCTGCGCTGAAGGCCCTTTTGGGAGTTGCACCGCCTTATTCTCGTTGTCACTCTTTTTACCATGAGCACTAATGGTTTTATCTCCAGGCAGGCTGCACGGCGTCATTACTTCGTAGGAGTTTAACAGAATTCTGGCCCATGCATATAATGACAATGGGAGAGCAAACGGTAAATGGCTGCTAAATAATAGCGTTGCTATTGTCACTAACAACTACTCACCAAAAGTGCCTGAGATTATACTAGCTATAAGTATTGTACATAATATTAAGATGTCTTGTCATTCAGTTATCTCTGATAACCTCTACAGGCAGGCATATGTGCATACGGGAAAATGTTACGTTTATTATAAGTTATGTCGGTCGTACACTTTACAGATTGAAATTGTGACTATTTTATTCGATTTATCGGGTTTTTGTGTTATATAAAAAATGTTAAATTACCGAATTATAATGAAGAAGGACCATAATAAATCAAAGAAATAAGTATAATTTATTCCAGATATACTAAATGTTTTTGGCATAATTTAAGTAAGCAGATATAAATTCGATAGAGCATAGGAATGCATAAAATACATACGTACAGATGAATGTGAATAAATATATAAATACACTTTACATACCAACACTCAGTAAACTTTCTAAACGAGTCATAATGTATTAACGTTGCCTTACGTGTGAAAATATTTGACGTAGACGATGTTTATTTTCGGTCTCCTGATGAAGATTATTCAGAGGGATTTCCTCCATATCAATAGATGGTTGACGTTGAGTTCCGATACGTTGCTGGGAAGGAGTCATGAATGCCTGCGAATATAAACCATTCTCTACATCATGTTGTTCTACTTGTACAGCGTTGGAACTGTATGGTTCCATTCCCTTTCAAATTTAAAATTAACTTTGAAATATTAAAATAAATTTATCCTCGAATTATTAAGATGAGTAAAGTGACAGTGACCGTAAAATAATTTTATGTGGATAACTCCTAAAGCAATTCACCAGTAGATACTGCTTTTTTTAAATATATTAGTCATTATTTGCAAGTATTTCGATTTATTATCGAATTTCTTAAACGCTATTACGTGTACCATAAATGCGAACGCTGCATTGCCTAATTTTTCCTTATTTGCACTTTTTGTTTATTTAACAAATCCGTTCTAATAAGATATCACCAAAATATGTAACTCTCCTTTTATAGAGCTGATTAATATAATATATTAATATTATTTTTCAAAATAATAAACAAAACAAAAAAATAAAATGCTCCTACAAAAACTACTTAAACGACTGATCGCGTGTTAATGAACAAGTTGCTTTAATTTTGCTCCATTTGTTCTCATAGTTTTGTTTCCTTCGATGATACGATTACCTTCGCTAAGCTTAATGTAAGCACTTTATTGTACAATCAACTTCACTTAAAGGAGAGAACACAAGTAGGGCTCAAACACAATCATGCGTTTCTATTTTCGGTATAAAAGTTTAACTGTACCGACTTTTTACGAGATTGTGGAAAAATTGGAAAATTGTATAGTTTCGCATATATATAAACGCAAATGAAACAAAGAGAAAAAGCGCTTAAGGAAAAACAAGACGATTTATTTTAAATTTAGAAATTGTTTATTTAATTTATGTTTATTTTGTATATATTTAACTTTCTTTGATTTTATATGACTTTAAATTTTAATATATAAAGGATGAAAAACAAGCACGAAAAGCTGTTCATGTCCAATGTTACATATATTTGTCAATTTATTTGCGTTGTTAGACTGAATCAGTGAAGTGTACTTCTAAGCTTCTTCTTTTGAAGTCATTTTTTCTTTATTCGTTACTTTATTAATTTGCTTTTACATTAAATTTCTGATCGCTGTTTTTCACATATTTGTTGTTTGCATTTATGTTTATTTCTTCTGTCTTGATTTTTAAACCATATGCTTTTTTTTATTTACAACGATTTCCTTTTATTTACTTGCTTTACTAGCGCGGCTTCTCATTGCGTTTCCACATAGGTCTTATTAGGCGCATTGGAATAACACATCAATATGCTTAGAACTCTCACACAATGAGGAGTCATTTTCGTATATGGATTAAAAACTCAAGTGATAAACAGAACGGTTTTAGAACCAAAAATAAAAAATCAACATAACATAAACAACAAATTTATTAAAAAAATGGCATTGTGGTTAATCTTCATAATCTGCTTAAATTTTTTGGCCCGATCAAGAGCCTTTTTTACATTAATCGGTCCAGAATTTGGAAGTTACCATTTATGACTCTCCAATACAACAATTTCAACTCTAAAGTAAATGGTCCTTATTGCTTTTTTTTCATTTCTCACAAAATAATGCATGGTATAAACGAAAATTGCAAATGGCATAGTATAAAAAAATGTGCATTAGTATTATATAAACATAAATTGGACAAATAACATTAAAATTTAAAGTAAACGATCATCATTTCTTCTTGTACTTATTTTTGTGGTTGTTTTTTTTATATGTATAAATGGAAAATCATATGATTTGTCAATTCCCATAAAGTTTTGTAAAAAGTCGGCAAAGTTGGAGTCTTAACTCGAAAATAGGAAGAACGCTCCATTGTGTTGTCCCCTTAAGGTCTTATGCGTTAGAGTTTTGACACAATGAGTCCGGGCTTATAGTATTGACGAAAATCTGAAAGTGAACTTTCGTTCGTAACTTTTTTGTGCTTTTTTTGTGATAATATAAGACTTTCGTGTCATTTTCGTTTGTTGTCATTCATATGTAAATAAAAAAGCAGAAAAGAGAAGCAAATCGAATTTATGCTTAGCGTAGCGTGCGTACCAAAAAATAAATAAAGAAAAGACACACTGAAAACATGACCCTGCACCAACCGCCCCGCATATTATAATTTAAGCAAAAGAATAAATGTAAGCAAACTTAGGCGAAAATTGTAATTATTATTAATGTTATCATTTTAGACTAATGAAATAAATTGTTCGCCTAAAAAAAAAGACATTGAGCACTAGCAACACAAGCTATCGGCTCTAATTTACACAAGTACATTAGATATTGAGCCTAGTAGTTTTAATAAAGTAATATATTGTATTGATATTCTGTTCTGTAGCTGATTGTAGATTGTCCATATGGTTAACCTCTCCAAATGGAATGCTTTTAGCCAAAGAAAAGTTAAGGCAGTCACAGAGAATGTGCTTCATAGTGAGAATTTTTCCACAATTGCAGATTCGGGAGGGAGACTTCTTTAAGATTCATTGGTGAGTTGAAATTGTATGACCAAGGCGAATTCTCGAAAATGATTGAATCTTGATTTTCTCAACATTTGTTTGATATAAAGGTGGAACTAATTGAAGGTTAATAGAAGAGTAGTGCTGATGATGGTATTGTAATATATAAGTACCATAATTTTCCATAAAGAAGGAATTCAATTTTGCATAATAAAGAGTGATGTCTTGGCGGAGAACAGCCGAGCAACTTTTGATTTATGTTACACTACCACCAAAATCATCCATGATAAAAGATTCATAGGGAATCTTTTGTTTTTCGTTTATTTAGTATACCCTATTTTCGTTTTATGAGATTCTCATTTCTGCACCGCTCCCATATACATTACAAAATTTAAGTTTATATTTATTTGCGGCTGTCAAAATCCAAAAAATAACAGCCCGATCTTCTCTTTGATAAATTAACAAAAAAAAAAAAAACAACTATTTATGATGTACTGACTTGCTTATAGTAAAGCGGTTGCGTGATTCATGAGCTATTAAAAGGGTTTGCAAATTTACTGAGAAAACAATAGGTACTTCCTGAAGAAAAAATTGAGATCCGCTTGAATAAATAATTTTTTTTTAAGAATATGAGGTAAGTATGTTGTTAGCGCGTTTTTAATTTGAGGAAGCTAACAATTGAATTATTTATTAACTTGTGTAAAGCAAAGAAGCAATATGCGGAGGAAAATTATAAACATTTGCTTACGTAATACGTTATAAAGCAAAGCAAATCGATAATAATAAACGCTTTCAAGGAAGCAAATTTGATTATGAACGGAGAACTCCGAGGACGTTAGATCGTTCAAGCTCTAGAAAAGAAAGAGATCGATTTAATCTTTCGCCGGGTCTGAAGTGATTTTGGGGATGATGACGAGAAATTTAGTTATTCTTTATATCTCCACTCTAATTTAATCTAAAAGAAGGTAATTTTAATTCTTTATGTTGACAAACTTTGACATTTATATTTTTTTGTTTTTATATGTGTATTATTTGTACTTTTAATATATACATAAATTTATTTCTATTGTAAAATGAGTTTTTAAAGTAATGGAATGAATATTAATGAACTACAAATAAGCATCCTGCAGAGCCATTCCCCGCCTCGTAAAAATTTTCTGTCGTGAAGTTCGATCCTCTGCCATTTAATGGTATAAAATGATGTGTCGACGCACTCTGCCTAATATTGATATATATTTTTTTTTTTTTTTTTTGTTTGTTTAGAGATGGATTGGACCAGTTAAGTTAATGTTAGATCCATAATCCAGAAACGAAGTTGAGAGCGATTGATGAAAAAATTTAAGCATAGGTAGACTGATGTGGCAGAGTGTTCGCAATGAGAGGCTCTGTTCCGCTGTCAATCCATAAATCACCGTCCTTGTTACTGTACTGTCAAGATCCGGCTAATAATGCCGATAAAAGAAAAAGTGTAGGCGATTCGTGATTGTAATAGAAATACTAAATGTAAAATTAGAATGAAAACTCAGCTGATTTGATAAAGGCAGTCAGTTGCTTCAAATGCCTAAAGTTACCAGCACGAAAAATTTCATATAGATTGTTATACAGGTTAAATATACTGAAAGATTGTCTAAGGATGTCAAACCTGCTGCACTCAAAAATAAGGTGCTCGGCAGACTCAGTAATATTGCAATCCTCACAGATGTCAGAGGAGGAGACTTTGATCATTTTAAAATAGACCTTGTCGTAGGTGTGGTTACTCATAAGACGGTGAAGAACTTTAAATTCCCATGTTGTGAATTTTTCTTTAGGTAGAAGCGTGGGTGTCAAAAAAGGGTAAATTTTGTAGAACAGCCGGTCACTTTTTTCTCTAGCTAAAACATGATACTCATCTTTCCATTCTTTTATGATGAGTTTTTTGACTAGCAGCAAAGCTTCGCTGGGGGGGTAGTTTATGGATAAAACTGTACCATCGAACCTAGCTTGACGAGCATGGAAGTCAGCTTTTTCATTGATACTAAAACCGCAGTGACCTGGGATCCAGATGATGTGGCATTTTTCAATACTTGTGTCTTTTAAAAGGTTGTAGATATCGAAGACATACTTATTGAATGGGTCTTTGTTCTTGATTAAAATTAGAGCGGATTTGCTGTCAGAGAAAACTACAAATTTTTTCAGCTTAATTTCAGATGCGTGGATGATTGCTTGTCTGACGGCCAGAAGTTCAATGAAAGTGGATGATAGTTCTTGTAGAACTTTGAATTTTCCTATAAGTAAGTTTGGGTATTCAATAATTGAAAAACTAGAGATGTCCGAATTGATAGATCCATCCGTTGCGTATATTTTGAAGTTATTTTCGACGAAGTGGTTAAGTTTTTGCAGACAAGCGATTCGAAGACAGGACCCTGATCGATTTTTTTTTGAGTTTGTGATTGAATTAAGTAAGTTTAATTCAACTACGCATTTATCATGAATAATATTATTCCAGGAGGGTATTGAGTTAACTTTATTGAAGATGTTACTGAATTTTTTGAAGCAGTTAGAGTAACTACTGATGACATGATTGTGTCTGGAAGCGACCTCGTCAAAGAAGGCAGGTTTGAAGATTTTTACTTTGAGAAGCTCTTTTGCAGTTACAAGATAAATTCTCTTAGCAACGGGGAGTTCATAAGAGATGGAACGTAAAATTGATGTTGGTGTTGAGGGGGACAAACCGGTACAACGTCTTAGGATTGAGTGTTGAAAGGTTTGTATTTTTTTTAATGTATACGCAGGAGCGTTACACGATGTAGAGTAGGGATATTCAATTTTGGATCTAACAATAGATTTGTAAACGTTTAATGCTTTCCTAGGTGGGAGTCCGGTGTGAATGTTGGTCAGAAGTTTGATGACATTTGCGCCTGTGTTGCAATTTTCGAGGCTATCCTTGTAATGCTCATGCGTGGTTAAACTTGAGTTGATTATTCTGCCCAAAAATTTAAAAGAGGAAGACGGACTGATTTTTATACCATTGATTGTAATGTAAAAAATTTTTTTGGGACCCTTAGCAAAGCGAACGACTTTTGATTTTTCCGGGTTGAAAGTTAGATTTAGGTCTGCACAAA